TGCCAGGCGAGCACGCTACCGCTTGAGCCACATCCCCAGCCCCCTAATATTTATTTTTTAGTTCTCAGCGGACACAACATCTTTGTTTGTATGTGGTGCTGAGGATCGAACCCGGGCCACACGCATGCCAGGCGAGTGCGCTACCGCTTGAGCCACATCCCCAGCCCAAAGATCCTCTTCTGAATCATAAATTATTAAACTTATTTGTTATCTTGCAGTTGCCAAAAGTGATTGATGCTGCTTTCAAGTATATCAATTAACAAAATTGCTAAAAGTATACATTTTCATGGATATAATTAACAAATGTACATAAAAGTAAGCCAAAAAAACTTATATCAAGCTAATATTGGGAAAGTGTTTTTGTAGAATTTAAAGGTTGTCACCAAAAATATTATTTATAATGTATAAATTTATGTTACTTCTCATATACCTTCAATACTTGTATTATGTTGTATAAGAAATAAAATGTTTTAAGGGGAAAAGTTTCATAATTCAGTACGTATACTAACAATTTCCTTCAGGTTTTTACATAAGGACTTCTGCATTTTCTCTTTGCTTAGATCTGTGTCTCAGAATGTTTTGTGCATACATAACTGAATACCAGAGACAAGATAATTTATAAAGAAGATAAATTTATTAGTTCAAGAATCAAAAAGATCAATGTGAAGGTACTAGTATCTAGTGAGGCCCTCTCTCCTGTGTCATCTTGTGGCACAAAGCAAGAGGACAAGAGAGGGCTGAATTCACCTTTCTAAGAATCCCAATTCTAGCAATAAACAACCCACTCCCATAGTAACAGTAGTAACCCCTCATGACTGTAGAGTTGTTTGTTTTTGTTTTTATTTAGTGGACACAATATCTTTATTTTTATGTGGTGCTGAGGATTGAACCCAGGGCCTCATGCATGCGAGGCAAGCGCTCTACCATTGAGCTACAACCCCAACCCCATGACTGTAGAGTCTTTATRAGCAAATGGCTTCTGAAGCATCCCATTTCTCAGCCCTGCTGCATTGAGAATTATGTTTCAAATACATGAACTCTAGGACCAATTCAAACCATAGCAGCCTATGGCAAAGTATGCAGCCAGTCCTGCAGTGGTAGGATTTGCCAGTCTTACAGCTTGAGCAGACTCATGAGTGGAACAAGCAGAGGGGCCTTTGATCCAGCTTCACAAAGTGCCACAGATTGACCCAATCACCTAAGAGGGGCCCTGCCCTGTAATGCCCTCTCATCTAAGGAGTTCACACAAGGGTACCAGCTGCCAAGGGAACCATGAACACATAACAGATAAGTTTTGCAGAACCCATCCCAGGGTTTGACKAGATGCTTTTCATGTCTAAGCAGAAATGGAAATTGGAAATAGAAAATAGAAATTAATGGCAAGTATTGTTAAATGTATACGCCAGAATTTATAGTGCAAGGGAGATACACAGAGACTGGTGGTCTGGTACCTGCCTTCAGGAAATACCCAGCCAAGTGAGCTGAAATGGTCAGCAGATAAGTACAATGTCACTGCATAAAAGAGCAACAATAGGAGGGGTGTGTGTGTGTGTGTGTGTGTGTGTGTGTGTGTGTGTGTGTACAGGGGTTGAGGAGAAAGGGAAGAAATGAAGAAATAGGCTCAGGAGACAGACCATCCCAAATTTTTGCAGCTAACAAATGGCAAGGTTGAAATTCAAACCCAAGTCCTCTTGCCAAATCCGCTACTTTTTCATCTATACCAAGGCATGGTTATCCACATCTATACACCTGGTCTGAATGCACACATCTGCCATATATCTTAGTTTGTTTTCTGTTGCCAAAACAAAATACCCAAATTTAGGTAATTTATAAAGAATAAAAGTTTATTTGGCTCCTGGTTCTGGACACTAAGATCTAAGAGCATTATACTAACCTTCTTGCTACATCACAACAGAACAAAGAGCATCATCACATGACAAGACAGAGATAACATGCTAGCTGGGGTCTCACTTCCACCTCTATAAAGTCACCAATGCCATCCTTGGGGCCCTACCCTCATGATCTCATCTAATCCTTAGTATATTCCAAAAGCCCTACCACCCAAATTTTAATGATACTACAAATGAAATTTAGAGGCAGGGGATACATTCAAACCATATCAATGTTTAACCAAATCATCCATTCTCTGCACCTGGGCAGCAGGGATGAAAGGAGGTGGGCAGGTCAGAGAAAAAGTTTGGATGGATAGGTGGGAAAACTGAATGATGATGGAAGAAGAAGACACTGAATTAAGATTCAAGATTCTGGCTAGCAGAAGTGGGTGGGAGGAAATACCCATCAAAAAGCGAAATGCAGAGGCCAGGTGCGTGTGGTACACACTTGTAATCCTAGCAGTTTGGGAGACTAAGGCACAAGAATCGCAACTTCAAAGCCATCCTCAACAACTTAGCAAGGCCCTAAGCAACTTAGCAAGAACCCTGCCTCAAAATAAAAAGGGCTAGGGATATGGCTCAGTGGTTAAATACCCCTGAATTCAACCCTTGATACCAAAAAAAAAAAAAAAAAAAGAGGAAGATGGGGCTCATGGGCCGGTGTGTTTGGGGTCCAGCTCTGACAGAAAAATGACACAGTATCCTAACTCACCAGCTGCCCATTCTTCTGCCAGATCACTCTCTGTCCCTGTTCTCCTGGATCATCTCTGGAAGAGTGGCAGAAAGTAGGGGCAAATGATAGCCTCATACACTTGATACTGAGGAACACCAGTGGTCATTCTATATGGTGTGAACAGAGCACCAACAGCTGTGCCAGCACTCATCAYTCAGGAAGCTGCCTTGAGAGCATGAAGAAGACTCCTATCCAGGAATGTGAGAAGAGCCACCAGAGAGCAAATCACTGTTACTACCTCTCGTTAGTAAATCCTTTCACATCTATCTGTCTTTGGCTCCTCCAACTACCCCAAGATATAGCTTCTTATTTTATAGATGAAAAGACTGATACTTAGGAGCAATGGTTTGTCCAAGGGAAGGAAAGGGGGGAAAAGACTCCAGGTCAGGAATTAACCACTACATCTTCACCTGTATTAACAAAACCATTCTCTCAAATACGCCTTAGGAGTTCCAAAAAGTTCAGATGGATGTTGTGTGCAAAGGTTCTGAGTTAGACAAGTCTAAGTTCTAGGGACTGAATAATGGAAGGGTGGCTCTAGAAATAGCCCAGAGAGCAGGTTGGGCAGGCCAAATTCTTGTTTTGGGYAGTGCTAGGGATCAAACCCAAGGCCTAGAACATGCTAGGCAAGCAAGCACTTTACCACTGAGCTACATCCATAGACTGAATCTATGGTTTTTGAAGTTCAAGTCATCAAAGAATTCTAAAATAAGTGGCAGACAAAATTGGAGTGGTTTTTTAAAAATATGCCCCCTACTTCCTAGTAAAAAATGGCCAGAAGCAAAAGCAGAGGCAAGTTAAGTTTTCCTAGGAATGTAAGATAAAGGCAAAGGAGGCCTGGATTTCACAGGCCTGGGAAGAAATGGATGGATTTGTAAGGTATCGAGGAGGTAAATAAACAGGGCATGTGATTAACTCCAGGTGGAGAGATGAAAGAGGAARAAGTGGCTACCATCGTCCCTCTCACCTTTGAGACCCCCAAACCCCACACGGCAGCACCCAGCCCATCATTTGAGGCACGATGCTGAGTCATGTCCTGTTAAATAGTAGGACCCAAACTGAAGTTGAATTAAATAGAGGCATTTAGACATTTTTTCAGAATGCCATGATGTCTGCATGCCAGAATGGGGCATACTCAGCAAGATCCATCTTCAATAGCAAAAGTGTACAGTTAGTTACCTATTGCATGGTACTATCTGCTCACTAGTCTTGATCAGAAGCAACTTACTTCTGCCCAAGGGCCTATGAAAACAAATCTTTTAGTTAACCCACAGCCCCTCTCTGAGGCAGTACATTCTGAAGTCTTCATCATCTGTGGTTACTGCATAGACCAGGCACGACTTCCCACTCCATGTGGGGTTGTTGCTGCCAGGAATGAAGCTGGCAATAGAGATGCTGCACGTGGAGCTTTATTTYCTTCGGGTATGTACAGGTATATACAGTTGGCTTGAGTCTATGGTACATTATTTCACAGAATTCTCTTATACACCGTGCATACTCCTAGGCAGGAAGCAGCAGATTCTGTTCCAATTGTCCATGGATGGTGGAGGAAAATGATACTAACAGGGGCACCCCTTCTCCAAAGACATTCATAGGGACTGTTTGCCCCCTTTGCCAAATACTAAAGCCCTCCCATGGACAATCTGTGCCTCCCACCTGCTTTGGGCACTTATTGATGGGAGCTGGGTGGTGGTGGCAGCAGCAGCTACTGCCCAAGTCTTTCTCCTCTAGAATACTTGTGGGAGCCCAAAAAAGTTAGGGCCCCTACACACCAGCAGAGGCAAACTGACACCTGACACCCAGAGCCTGACCTGAACCCTTGGCCCCCAGCATGTGCACAGCCTTCTGAGCCCTGTATGGCCTGGCTTCATGGGGCACTGGCATGCATCTTCTCTAGGCAACTTGTCCAGAACATAACCAGTCGGTTGTCACGGTTGATGCAGAAATCTGTGAAGTCTTTCAGCAGCCTATCTGCAAACTTCTCATCCCCTGTGGCACTAGAGCGCCAAGTCTTGGTAAGCATGGTGTTGTAGGCCCAGTTATAGCCAACCCGTTCCTCACAGAACATGTTTTGGTTTGTGGAACTGGTGGAGTTCCGCCGCCGCCTCTGCTGCCCTGAGAACTTGCGCTTGGAGTAGGGCAGCTGCAGAAACACTGTTCCTGTAGGGAAAAGGCAGGGCCTGTATAGTATCCACCAGGAAAGCACCTGGAGATGGCTGAGGTGCTTCTGCCACCACAGGTTCAGAACAGGGAAAGGGATCTCTAAACAGGCCCAGGCCCCTCAGGGCTCATGCACCTGCCAGAGTCCTCCCTAGTCAACCTTTTTGCTCATAGTTCCTCACCTGTAACATGGATATACTGAGGCTTGTTCTCAGCAGGGAAGTTAAATGCAGAGGCAGAATATTTATCTTGTACAAATCCAAACCTAAGGGAAGGACAGGAAAGCATACTGGTTAAGGTCTCCTTAGCTAGAGGGACAAGGGGAAAGAGTGGCTAATAAGACTAACTGCTTGAGATAAAGGTATATGAAAAGATCTCATTCAAGGTGGACCAGGCAGGCTGCTTTATTTCACCCTCTCTACTCCCCAACCTCCACCCCTACTCATAAAGCAGCTCTCCAGCTCTCCTGTGCCCCAACACCTTTCATCTCCTGGGTCAACCATATGATTTCAATGAATGAAAGCCCCTCTACCTGATGCACTCTTCATACAGCCAACCCTCTCTCCTGCCACATCCCCAGCTATCCTAGTAGCCCTCCCCACTGTAGGTTTCCCCCATCTCATCCTATGTCTTCCCTCTGCCTCTTGCTGGAATTTATCCCAGGTGCCAATTGGCWGCAACACCCACCCACATACATTCCCCATCTTAATTTACCTTAGTCACACTTCTCCCCCTTCCCCACTGTTCTCAGGCTAAGCATCTAGAAAGTACTTAATAAAGGCCTTGAATTGAAATAGAATGAAATATCTCAATTGAAATTCTTTCTTTAAAAGTGAGGAACAACAACCTGGGACTCTTTGCTTTGCTGCACTATGGAAATGGGCAGGAGGAGCCATTATTCATCTATAACTTGTTCTATTTCTGGTTCTTCTATTTCCATAAAGCACATTTATTATAGCCCTAACTGCTAAGAGCTATAAAGGACGTGCTAACAGATGTGGCATGGCGTGGCGCCTGCCCTCTAAGCCTGAGAGGTTTACATAACAAAGGCAGTGATGTAGGCAGAGCTAAGGAGATAAGCTTCCTGTCTCCTATTCTGTGCTGAGCTCCCCAGGAGGGGTTACTAGCCTTTATCCAAGAAGCTGGCATTACTCTGGTATTCCTTAAGAATTTACAAAAAAATATATATATATATAGGAAATCAAATGTGCAAATTAAATGGATAGGCAAATATGCACTGCAAGCTTTTTCATCTACAAACTGAATCTATCATATATAAGAATGGTCTGGATTTTGCCTTTGCTTCCTCTCTACTTTCCAATCAAGTTCAATGATTTACTCAGCATGAATCAACCTGACCAGAGTATTCTTGCTTCATTTCTTTCTTAAGTTACCAGGAACATCTTTTATTTAAAAAAAAAAAAAAAAATTACACAGCACAAGTCCCTGGCTATTTCACTGCCCACTTGGGGAGAATGTAAGGCAGGACTACAGTGAAGGCGAGGAGCTCCTATCCCAGAGAAGGGGCTGTACTAATCTCACCCAGCTACCCAGATGAAGTTAAAGGAGATAGGAGTCAGAGCAGAGGGGATCCAAGGAAGATGGACACTTTTCATAGCTTTTTTTGAAATGGACCTTGTAAATGGGCTAAATGTATCATTTTAGAGCCACGTTCCCCTTAGAATTTCACTCCATGGAAAAATGGCAAGAAAAACAGCCAGTTTGGGCAAGGCACTGTGCTAAGCATAGTGAAAGGGAAAAATGCATACCTTTGCTCTCCAGGGCTCCCAAATCATTGTAACAGATTGATACAGTGTTCAGGAGAAAAGGATGGAGTAATTAGAGTAGAAAGACCTGGGAATCCCTGGTAGGGGAGGTATATTTCACATGACACTGAACAAGATGTAGCAAGAAGTTTAATGAAACAAAATAGGAGGTTTGGTTTTCACCATGATTAACATGAAGTAGCAGTTGGACACCAACTTAGTGATACTGAGACAGTGTGGTTGCTGGTCTAGTCTGGGGCAGACAGCTAAGCCTAGGGAAGGCTTTCCCTAGCACACATATTAGGTGTCAAGAAATATTTATAAGCTCATCTATTGCTTTTTAACCATTCATTGACTTTTCAACATGTGTTAAGGGTCTCAAATTTTATATATTTCCATTTTGTGTTATCTTCTAAATAGCTTGACTGAGGCTCTCATTGGAGGCTGGGGAGAGAGCTCTAAAATCTTCCCTCAACTGAAAGAAGGCAATGAGATCTGAAAAAAAAAAAAAAAAAAACTGGCAGGGTGTGCTTATCTCAGAAGAGTCTTGGAGATAAGTAGTTAATCTGTCATTAGTGGAAGAGATCCCTTTCCCCAGGAACAAAACAAACTGGGTTTCACTTTGCTAATTGCTATTGGAGATAAATACTGATTCCTTCCTACTAATGCCTCTTGCTAAGGGACAAACCTGTGTGCAATGGCTTCCTGAAAAAGATGCATTCGATCCCAATATGTTTCTGGTTCAAAGCCTGTAAGACAAAAGATTCTATGTTGATTTGTGATCACAAGATTTTGCCTGCATTTGGGTTTCTGCGCCCTTCATTACTCTTAGCAGTTATTGCTCGTTGAGCATAAGCTGCTTTTCCACACAACCTCTTTTGGGAAGATCATCCTCCATCCCAAGGTCAAAGAAAGGACATGTATGTGTTCACCATGTCCTCCCCTGAGCTACAGCAGGATCCAGTAAAGTGATGAATCCTCAGGAGCCAGTGTGAACTGCTTAATAATAATAATATCTCATGTCAAAAGCTGAAAAGAGCATTTTAAATACAAAAACAAGACAAACCTTAAATGCATATTAGCTGCTTCTAAAAAATAACAACAACAATAACAAAAAAAAACATGTTTTTATGTTACCAATCTTCCATTTCCCTAGAGGGAAAGAAAATATTATAAGCTCCACGTTAGGGATAAGAGAATTGAAACAAGTAAACATAAAAATGAATTTCTGAAAGGAAATTAGGGCGGTGGGGAGAAACAGAGCACTTGGGTACCCTCACCATCAGCCACTGCATTACCCAGCCTCACTCCTGCAAGGCTGCTGCTGTGGACCAAGAGCTGAGTGAGGTGGGAGAGCTAAACAGGCTGTCACATAGCAACAGGCGGCAGAGCCTGGGCTGCTCTTGGGGTGAAGGTGCTGAGGGCTGGGGCAGCCATTGCACAGTCAACCCCAAAACTAGGGATGCCTATGGTGGCTTCGTTATTCTTTCATATTTGGAACTTTCTACCTCAGAATTTGAGGATTCTGAACAATAGGGAAAAAAAGAAAATGGTTTTGGCTTTAATGGGAAAACACACAAAGACAGCACATGCTTGTCAGATTTTTAAGATTCTGAATTCACTGTTAGCAAAAGCAGAGATAACAGAAGTGAAGCCAGATTAGGTAGTTAGGTAGTCAGTGTAGTTTAGGTAAATCAGGTCTAATATTGAGTAAGATCCAAAATGGAGGCCATGTTAAGAATGAATTCCGGGAAAAGCAGAACAACTCTTGGAATGTTAATGAAGTCCGGAAAAAGCCCAAGGCYCAGAGCCCATCCCAAAGAAATGTTAATAAAGATTACTTCTTTGCCCCACCTGTGCCCCACCCTTCGGGCCTTCCCACCTAAGTTCCATCACTGAAAGAACTATAAAAAGGGAAAACAACTGCACTTCCACGGATTCCATCTCTTGGGTCCCCTTCTTCCTTCTGGAGTAGTCTTTTCTGCTGTCCTTTAATAAAGCCTCTACTTTCCACTCCAACCTTGCCTCGGTGTGCTTCTCTGGTGTTATTCTTCAACACTGGGGAAGCAAGGACTCATCACGGGTCAACAGCGGTAACAGAAGGAGGCCCAGAAGCAGGAAAATTGATTCTTAAATTTGAGGCTTTATTCCTTTAAACCAGGACTTATGTTGGCAACAAACCGAGGATGCTGGTCTTAAAGACTGGGTTACAAATGGCCAGAAAAACCATCGACTTGCACAAAAATATCCTCTAATGCAGTCCCGTGAGCTATTCTGTGCTGTTTCACTAAGAGTGGAGGTGGAGACTCTGTAAACTCTATGTATCTCAGAGTCCATGACTTCTGGCAGGAAGGGGCTCACCTGGCACATTAAAAAAAGTCTTCAAAATAGTTTAAAAAAAAAAAAAACATAGATAGGCCCCTAGAAGGTTGTATGCTCAAAAGAGCTGCCTCTCACATGAAAAGCTCAGGAACACTGAACCTGGCCTGCTCCACCTGGCAAAACCTCCTCACCCTCTGGGCTGGTTTTCTGCTGCCAGCCATGATATAAACTTACAAGAGCGCAGCAAGAAAGCATCTCCCTTACATTCAAGTTACTTCTTTCCCATTCATAATCTTTATATCCCAGGACTCCTGACATATTGGCATCAACTCTAGCTTTTCATATTAAAAAACAACATCTGAGAACTCATGGGAAGATTTGTAGGAGCTATACAAATAAGTTCATCTGCAATGAATGCATGGTAATAAAGAATGATGTACTGTATAAAGTAGAGCTCATCCTTTAATCTGTCATAAACCTGATGGACTATGGTAAAATAGTAGGTCAGAGTGGGTCCCATGTGCTCCCTTTCTGACTGATGACCCTCTTCCTGGGAGAAAGGCCCTGAACTGATGAGTACTGCTGTCTTCCTTGAGATGCAGGACTTTAGCCACATTCAAGGCTCCAAGGGCTGACACACTGCAGCTTTGTCCAATAAAACTTGTTTCCTGTTTTGCTTTCCAATACCTTTCTTTTGGATCTTTTTACACAGAACAGCATATATAAGCCTCCCACAAGGTTCAAATCCCTGAAACCCAAGCCACCTAGGCTGGAGCAAATGAAAGGAGGRTGTGGGAGGACAGTAGTACTGCTAGAGAGTTACAGGGCATGATGCCCTCTCCCACCAGGGTTTCAGGTCTTAAGATAGCCTTTGGCAAGGCAGCTCTGGTCAATCCTAATTTTAGGAATAAGGGATTTGGAGTCTCAGAGATATTAAGTGATTTATCCAGGGTTACCCAGTTGCTAAATGAGGAATGAGATAGAAATCYAGATCCTTTTGGGTCCTTGTAGAAAGGCTCTCCCTTTTCACTAGCCTGTGATGATTAGATAGCCAGAAAGGTGTCCTTGAGGAGAGATGCCTTACTCATCGAGATGACATTCAGAGGGAAGTAGCTCTTACTATCAAACAGGTGTTCACTGCCCTCCTTGAGTAAGCAGCTGATATTGAGCGGGATGAAGAGCTGGGCTCGCAGGGGATCGCCATACAAGTAGCTGGGAAGTGCAAAAGGACCCTCCAATACCGGTACCAACAAAAAGCCACAGGAGGTAGCTTTTCGATGCCAACCTTGGACCTAGCAGAAAGTACAGAAAAAAGAGTGTCATCTCCATGTTCTTGCTGACAAGAGAAATACTTCCCAAGGAGCARTCCTGCCAGAGCTGTGGCATGCAATGATTGGTATGTTCATTTACACATGTCCCCTGTTACAAACAGGCCTATGACAAAAGAAAAAAAAAAAAGTACAATTTCACTTCCTTGATATATACACAAAAAAATTGTGATATAAACAAAAGTTCCTTTTCATGGCCCATGCTTCTACAACATCAGAGTTTTCTTTGAAAAAAAAAAAAAAAAAAAAACAGCCTGGACAGAACTAAAAACCCTTCTTATTCTGTGGTATACTAGAGGAAGGTCACAGGATATAGGTTAAGTCCTGCTAAATTACCCTGTATCAGGAATTTAATAAGTCCAAAGCATCAAATAGGAAAAAAAAAATCCACTTAAACTGGCTGAGAGGAATATGACAGAGGGTGGAGAGGACTCTGGTGACCTCTGTCAAAAGTGATCAGCACTGACATGTAGAATCAGAACCACTCTCTGGGAAATTCCCCCAAGCCATATGATGAAAGACCAAAAATGAGAATTACTGGGGCAGAAAGACATACTTCTTCCCATCAATAACATTTTCCTATATGGAACAATTTTTGAGTTTTTGTGATACTTTTATTAACCATAAAACCAATGTATACTTTTAAAAGGAAAAAAAAAAAGCTGAAATTGGAAATGTATGTTTCAGTGGTAGAGTACTTGCCAAGCATCAATGAGGTCCTGGGTTCAATACTTAGCCATTAAAAAAAGCTGATAGATGAGGCTCTGGGATACAGATGAGATCTGTGTCAAATATTATCTTATTTACTTTTTTTTTTTTTTTTTTTTCCCCAAACAGGGTCCTGGGATGTTACTCAGTCTGATCTTGAACTTGTGGGCTCAGGTGATACTCTCACCTCAGCCTCTCAGCTACAGGTTGAAAATTATTTAGACACTGTGGTGAGTGACTACAATCCCAGCTAGACCTGGCCAAAAAAAAAAAAAAACCAGTATGGGCCATACCTTAACTTACACAAATACAATTATGTTAAAAATTGAAGGGAATTATTCTTAGATCTTTTCCCAGGAACTCTCATAACAACAGAACCAAGATATCTGGTTTGATCAAATTAATTCCTAAGATTGAGTCAACAACATTTTTATTTTAGGTAATATTTATCCTTATAAAATCTCACAACAAATGTGAACACTGCCTTAAGGTAAAAATTCACCTAAAGCATTWGCAGCACTGAGTGGATTTGACATGTATAGATATGAAATGTATACTTTTTAAAGAKAGTTGCTAAACTCCTTGGGGGAAAAAAAAACAAAACATGTTTTTTTCTGCCCAACTGTGTGTGTACTTGTGACTACTATGGTCTTATTGTTTTGAGATAGGGTCATTAGGTAGGTCACGCAAGGAAAATGCTGATGCCTAGTGGGTCAGGGGTTAATTTTGCCTGGAGGGAGCATCATCCTGGTGTCAACCAGCTAGGGAGAGGCTGGTGTCCTTGTAAGCTGTGCAGGACGAGCCTAGCTTGACTTGGGTCTTTAGGATACTTCCTGGGTGAGTCTTTCTGAGGGAACGGTCTTAAAGATGATAACACCATATATTGAGGCTGACTGTGCCAGGCAGACAAGACCCACACAAAACTCTAACCCAGGAAACAGTATCTTATGGGACAAACCAAGACTACAATAAAACTTTCCAGTCAGTGCTGTGCTCATTCCTCTTAGGACATCTTTCATCTTTCAGTGAACTCTTTTTTCTTTATTTTTTTTGTTTGTTTGTTTGTTTTTGCATTACAATTCTTAATACACCATTATACAATAATTTATCATATCTCTGATTATATATAAGGTATGTCTTTTTTAACTTCCCAGATGTTCTCAGCTGTGTAATGAAATGCTTAGGCTGTTGTTAGAGTAGAGTCAGGCTCAGCTTACCCACAGAAAAATATTCTTGAAGGGTAAATCAGAGTGTATAATAGGAGTAGCACACTGTGATGATGATTGAGGAAGGCTCCAGGAAGATACTGGCAGCCTGGATAAGGAGTGTTTATTCTAATAGGCACTGGACCAGGATGGGCAATGGCCAGGGATGACTTACTTCTTAGCGTGGGAGGAGTAAATGTCCTGATTAGAGAGTCAGGCCAAGACAGAACAGAGGGAGGAAAGACAGRCAAAAAGACTAGTTAAAATAAGGCTTCTTAGCCTTGGAATTTGTGATACCTTGGGCCAGTTAATTCTTTGTTTATGGACTGTCCTATGCTTTTTAGGATAATGAGCAGCAACCCTGGTCTCTACTCACTAGATGSTAGTAGTACTCCTACCCTCATCATGTTTGATAAGTAAAAAGGTCTGCAGATATTGTCAAATGCCCCTGAGAAGCAAAATCACCCTTGTTTGAGAACTCACATATTAACAGCAGTTATGCTCATTAACAAGGAATTGGTTACATAAATTATGGAATAACCCAAAATTCTGTAGCCCTTAAAAACAAAATAAAGGGGTTGGGGACATAGCTCAGTTGATACAGTGCTTGCCTTGCATGCATAAGGCCCTGGGTTCAATCCCCAGCACCACCACCAAAAAAAAAAAAAAAAAAGCAATGATTTTTAAAAAACTCAAACAAAAAATAAGGCAGATTTATTTGTGCTGATTTGGAAAACATACAGGTACTGGGTGGAAAAAGCATGCATCCTACATTACCATCCCAATCAAAAAAATAAGAAGCAAAATTTTGTCTATGCAGAGAATCTCCTTAGGAGTACACTAAACTAAATGGTAGTTGTGGTTACTCTTAGATGGAAGTCCCAGAGCACGTGGTGAAATAGAGACTTGCTTTTCACTCTAGACCCCTGATTCTTAACTGGAGGCAATACTTCCCCTTCCCTAGGAACATGTGCTGATTTCTGGAGACATTTCTGGTTATCMCTGTGGAAGTGTGCTACTGGCATTTAGTGGATAAAGGCCAGATGCTGTTCAACATCCTACAATGCACAACAGAAATGCACCCTACAGCACCCCACAACAGATGTTATTAGTGCCAAGGTTGAGAAATCTTAACCCGTACCCCGTTTGAATTTTTTACTGTTTAATTTTCTTAAGGCTAYTACAATAGGATGAAAAGGTAATAGGAGCCTGAACCAAATAATTAAAGAGATATCTACTAAGAGCCCCCTTCCCCTCTGAGAAGTGAACAAAACAAGGCCCTAATCAAATGCATGAAGTTCTCACCATCTCAAATAGCACAGCAGCAGTCACTGCCATCCAGTGTAGCTTGATCTCAAAGGCTGCATTCAAGGAGAAGTTACCATGGTAGTAACAGCTGCACCACTCCAGCCGGTCTGTACGGTTGTTCACATCAACATCCAGGGTCACAGTCCTCTGCTCTGGGACAGTGGCAGCTGTGTCAGCACATAAAAAAGGCCAAAGTAAGAGGAGTGGGATGGGGAAGAAATATAAACAACTGAGCATACAGATGTGAAATTGCAGAACTGCCTAATAGAAAATCAGAGACTCCGGGGCTGGGAATGTGGCTCAAGCGGTAGCGCGCTCGCCTGGCATGCGTGCGGCCCGGGTTCGATCCCCAGCACCACATACAAAATAAAGATAACTAAAAAATAAATATTAAAATTCTCTCTCTCTCTCCCTCTCTCACTCTCTCTTTAAAAAAAAAAAAAAAAAAAGAAAAGAAAATTAGAGACTTGAGCTGGGGCTATAGCTCAGTGGTACAGCGCTTGCCTAGCATGTTTGAGGCACTGGGTTCAATCCTTAGCACCACATAAAAATAAATAGCTAAAATCAGGTATCAAAATCATAAACTATTTTTTTAAAAATCAGAGACTCTAGAAATTTTCTGGAAATCATCTAGTCCCAGGGTCCCCAAATTTTTTCTGTTTGTAAATGGATAATAAATTACTTTAGGTTTTACAGGGCATATARTTTCTGTCACAACTACTCAATATAGTGCAAAAGTAAACACAGACATTGCATTAAAGAATGGGCTTTCTTTATGCTGGGCATAGTGACACACACCTGTGTCCCAGCAATTCCAGAGGCTAAGGCAGGAGAATCCTAAGTTCAAGGCCAGCCTAGACAACTTAGYAAAAACATTTCTCAACATAAAATAAAAAGGGTTGGGGCAACAGTTCAGTGGCAGAGCACTTGCCTACTGTGCACAAGGCCCTGGGTTCAATCTCCAGTACTACAAAGATAAAAAAGGAAAAAAAAACTTATTTATAAAAACAGATGGCTTTTAAACTCAGAAGGTCAAGGATTGCATGTTTCCTCTCATATGTGGGAGGGAAAAGGAGGGATTAGGGAAGTCCCATGAAAATCAAAGGGCAATCAATAGACTAGCTAGAGAAATGGAACTAGGGAAAAGAAGGAAATACTGAGGAATGATGTCAGTCAAATTATATTGTTCTATTGTGCACATTTACAAATACGAAACAACRACATTATTGTATCTGTATGATACAATAATGGTAGATACATGTCATTATATGTTTTTCCARAACCATAGATTGTACACCATGAATGAATCCTATATTATCACCCATGAACTTTGGGTGATAATAGTATGTCAACATAGATTTCATGAATTTTAAGGAATGTTACTCTGGTGGGAGATGTTGATATTGGGAAGGCTAGGTATATTTGTGGTCAGGGGATATATATAAACTTTTGGCACCAATTTTMTTGTGACCCTAAAATTCTTCTTCAAAAAATGGGCAATTATAAAACAAGCAAAGAAATCATAAACTAGAGGGCCACTTAAACTACAATTTGCCTCTCCTTAATCAAATCCAACCCTTTCATTTACAGGACAGAAACCAATGTTCAAGAGGGAAGATTCCTTAGCTAAAATTATGGAGTCAGAACCTCAGGCAGGCTGAACCCAAGATTATCTGATTTCAGTGATCCACAAAGGGATATAAGGAGAAGCAGCCCAGACCAGAGTAAGGAGGAAGTCTTCCTTTTCTGGTTTCAATCCAGGAAGKCATTAGTTCTATAATCTTTTCTCAATAAATAAAACCTCATGATAAAGTTTAACACTCTGTTCCATCATCCTTTGGTGGAAGACTGGCTCAGTGCCAAACTTGCTTATCCTCTGGCATCCTTGTTCAGAAAACCTACTCAACCCAAGTCAGCAATATATTAGAGGGGTGTCAGAAAATCAGGTTCCTTACTAGATAAAGGATTGAAATAGGCTCAGAAATTTTAAAAGGTCAAGGCTCTGTTCTGCCTGCCTTGGATACTGTCACACCTAAGGTTTCTATAAATTATGGTCTGCCCTTCATTTGTCACCCACCCCCATGAGTTCAATGGTTTCTATTTATCTTAAGTACTCAACTTAGTCCTGGGTCTGCAGGTAGAAGCATTGGATTATATTATCTCTGACAAGGATAAAATGGCTCCTGAGTCAGCAGTTTTACTGAGCTGCTAACAGGAGGCAGGGAAGAGTTAGCTAGGGCACTGAATGGCACCCAGGTAAACTGACATTTAGCTGCCAGCTGTACCACTTATTTTTCTCTCAAAACTAAAACATACAAAAGATCTGGATTTGGAGTTGGAAGACCTAAGTTCTGCCATTTACTAGTATGTGTTTCTGAGAATATAGCTCTGGTTTAGTTCTTTGTCTCCAAACTGAGAGGTGGCAGCTTAGCTGTTTCACAGAGGAGGGGTGAGGAACAAGTGAACATAGCAGAGGATTATAGACTCCCTTTCTCCTTCTCCTCAAGCCTCCTCATTTCTATCTCCCTCCTCTCCCTCTGCTCTCCGTTTAAGCCAGGAGCTCACCAAAGCTCAAGGTGAGACCTGGGCATAACTCCATAAACACTGTCCATTATGCTTAAGGTACTTGGTACCTTAACTTGACCACTCTGATCCTAAAGCTGCACCTCTGTSTCTGCTTCATGTTTCTGATTCATGACACCGACAGACTGACCCTGTACTTCACAGAMCAAATCAAAGAAAGTTTTGCTCTCTATCTTAAACACTGTATCCCTCCCTCAGGTAAAAAGCACCCAGCAAAAATAAGGTCACTCCATAAACATCAACAGTGACCACATACATCTCTTCTTTCCCATCTGGAATATTAAGTTCAACACAGASTGGTCTAGAGAAGCCCAAAGGAACTGTTCTGCCAAGTGGTTGTATCACTGGATTCGGAGACAGATACAAGATGGTGGACTGGAAGAAGACCTCATTTCTTGTGGCTCTGTGACTCAGGATTCAAGCAGAGGAAATACTGTTTCTCTTCAAGGCAGCTGTTGCTGCCCACTGATCCCCTGCTGTTTACCCCCCATTCACCTCCACAATAGCCTGATAGCTGGCTGTCTACAGCATACCRTCCGCCATTTGTCCATTTGCCTGCCTCTTGCCTGCCACTAGCCTGCAGACTGGCAGCAGACCACCAGTGGATTGTTGGCTGCCCGCTGCCCCCTGCTGCTTGGAAGTCCACTGTCACAGTACCCGCAGGTTTGGTTACATGCAGCCGCCACCATCTTGGGACACTAGTCAGGGCCCACAGGTTTGTAATTGCCACCGCTGCCATCTTGGGACATGGCTGCCTCAGTCTAGGGATACCAGCTAGGGCCTGAAGATATATTGTCRGGGTACCTGCAGGTCTGGTTGCACCTGAGGTCTTTCTGCTGGGTATGCTAGTGGCCGCCATCTGGCTGTCWCTTTGTAGGGTCTCTCCTTTGTGTGACCGCATCCCTGGTGGTTTCCCTACAAGTTGAAATGTATTGAATCTTGGAAGTGCAGCAAGGCAGAGCCTTGGGAATCTGAAGCCAGGTCCATAAGACTGCAGCTGGGCTTGTATGGGCCAGTCTGGTTCTAGCAAGCTGTGGAAAGTCAGAGACTAGGGGCAGTTCCCCAAAGGGAGCTCAGTTGGAGAAACTGGAGGAAACCAGGCTCTCTTCAGCTCATGGGGATGAAATGGGTGAGAACATCTTGCTGGCACCCACGGGACTGGAGCTACCATCAAACTTCAGACAACCCCACCTATTGGCAGAAAGTGGAAGTTAAGAAATTTTTTTTG